GGGTAAATTGTAGTACATTCATAATGGAAACTATGTAGCTATTAAAATGAGCAAACATAGCTATATGCAGCAACATGAACTTATCCCAAACAATGCTGGACAGAAAGAAGTCAATCACAGAATTCAGTCTGTTTCCCTTTCTATGAAGTTATAGGCAATGTCAATTTGTTTATGAAAGCATATACAGGTGGGAAAGCTATACAGAAAATCAAGGAAATGACTATCGAAAAGTCAGGAATGGTTAGTTCATGGGGCAAGGAGGTGATGTGGAGAGATAAATAGGTGTTTTCTGAGAAGCTAACAATATTGTTTCTCAACCAGGGTGGTGACTGTATATAATTTTTTTAATCATTTTTTAAATGGTATATGTTTTATACCTTTATGTATACATGAAATATCCTAGCAAAATTAATTTGGGAGAAAAAAACAGTGCTCATCTGTGTCAACTGTGGCTAAAAATTCAGCTAAGATGAGGACTGAAAACTAACTGCTGAGTATAGTAACATGAAGGTGACAACAGAGACTTTGGTAGAGCGGTGAGGAAAAAAGCGTGATTAGAATAAGTTTTTTAAAAGTGAAGAAAAGGAGATGGGGGCGTATGGGTGGCTCAGTCAGTTGGGCACCTGACTTCAGCTCAGGTCATGATCTCACGGTCCATGAGTTCGAGCCCTACATCGGGCTCTGTGCTGACAGCTCGGAGCCTGGAGCCTGCCTCTGATTCTGTGTCTCCCTCTCTCTCTGCCCCTCCCGCTCACACTCTGTCTCTGTCTCTCTCAAAAATAAACAAACATTAAAAAAAAAAAAAAAAAACAAAAAAAAAAAACAACTTTTAAAAGTGAAGAAAAGGGGAAAAGAATAGGCCACCCTTGAAAAAGTACTTATAAAGGGGAACAGAAAACGAGACCCTGTTGGAGGGGGCTGCAGAATCAGGGAGTTTGGTTTCATCTTTCAAATGGGAGATATTACAGCAAATTTTTACACTGATAAAAATGATCCAGTAGAACGGGAAGAGTTGATGCTAGTAAGAAAAGAGAGAATTATTGGAATAATGTCCACTCGTAGGCAAAGGGGATCGGATAAAGTAGACAAGCAGAAAGATTGGTCTTAAGAGTCTGGACAGTCTATCCACAGTCAAGGGAGTTTATCCAAAGTACATGAGTCCTTTGAACAAACAAAGTCATCAGATGAGAGCGAGGTGTTGGAAGAGGAAGTATGAAACGAGAAAAGGTGTAAAACTGTCATCTAGGACAACTGGAGAACTCTAGAACTTACAGGAGGATTGCCAGATACACAAATGGTCTATTTGCAATAGACCTAAAAGGGAAAAAGTCAAGGTGACTGTATTTTTCCCCCAATGATGTTCAACAGCCTGGTTCCAGCAGAGTTGGATTTCCCCAGTTAGAACTGTGCCAAGAAGAAAGGATCAAGGAAGTGAAGGCATGTGCTAGGGAGTGATCATTATGATGGGCCACTGAATCTAAGCAGAGAAGGGACAGAAGAGAACATCAGGAAGGTGAAGGACTCTGAGAAGGCAACAGAATCAATGTTGAGGCTCAATAACTGGAGCAAGGGTACCAGAGCGATGATAAGAGGCAGTTAGAAAGAAGGATTCTTGAAAATAAGATTATGGAGAGGGTACAGTTATTGAAGACAGGTCTAGGGTATGTCCACAGAATGGATAACTCAGGTAGGGTAGAAGACAAAACATGTGTGGGAGAGGAAATCAAGGAATTGAGAAGTCAGAATTTTGGAAAAAATCGTCTGAGTGCATCGTGAAATCACCAAGAATTACAAGAATAAAGCGTGAATGCCAATGCCAGGAAGCTAGGTGCTAAAAACATGAAGATATGAGGAAGAAGACCATAAGGGTCTGGAGGCAATGGCCACAGTCCCTTCCTCCTATAGCTAAGGCACAGACAGGTAAGTGACTGCCAGGCTCATGCAGCTAGTAACTGATAGTGCTTGAGTGGAAACACTTGACAGTCTGGTTCTATTTTAAGCTATAAATTGACAGACCAATAGTTGCCAAACTAATGAGAAAGACCTTTAAAGTTAAAAAAGAAAAAAACCCAACAAAGTCACATAGCAGTAGATACACTTTTACTATCTAGTGAAAGATAAAAATACAAAACCAAAAGAGCTGCTATGAATTCAGTAATTCAAACAAAATTTTCCATACTAATCACAAAAATCTCTAAAGATATTTGAAAATTCTATTCAATCCACAGACAGTGCTTAATGTCACATGGCTATGTGAATCCTTTTCAAAAACTCTTTGCTGCTGTGTGAGCACCCACTGGAAGGTGTCTTTCATTGCACAAATACCGAGCACTGGTTGTTTTGTTTTGTTTTTTCTTAATGTTTATTTATTTTGAGAGAGAGAGAGAGAGCACACACGTGAAGGGGTAAGGGGGCAGAGACAGAGAGGCAAGAGAGTCCCAAGCAGGCTCCACACCGTTAGCTCACAGGGCTTGATCTCCTAAACCATGAGATCATGACCTGAGCTGAAATCAATCAAGAGTCAGATGCTTAACTGACTGAGCCACCCAGGTGACCCTTGAGCACTGGTTTTTAAGTTATACAGTAGGACCTGGAGAACTCCTTACCTCTGAGGGGTTTACAGCATAAGGCAGTGATTCTCAAAGTTTTAGTCTCAGGATCCCCTTATCTAAAAAAAAATTACTGGGCACTCTAAGAGCTTTGTTCTGTGGGTTATACCTATCAATATTTAGCATATTAGAAATTAAAACAACTTTAATACAAGAGTATACAAAAAACATCCCATTAAACATCAGAGAGATGATGCCATCACATGTCACATGCAGTCTCTGGAAAACTGCACACTATGGGACAAAGAATGGAAAAGACCCAAAAAAAAAAAAAAAAAAAAAAAAAGCCTTGGTGCTATTATGAAACAGTTTCGGTTTCGTGGACTCTCCCTGAAAAGTCGTTTAACCCCTGGAATTCTGCTGTCTAAATAAACAGACTGGGCCATTACACTCCTTTTGTCCTATAAAAATTATTAGAGTAATATCCATTGTGGGAGATGGGCTGGGTCCCAAGTGAAGAACAACTAGTGGCCAACATCCTACTTTCTAGTATAATAGGAGATGGGGGATGGGGAGGGAACATCTATTGGGGCACCATGAGGTGATGAGTGATTCACATTTGAGTACCTGCTATATAATCCAGGCACTGAGTTGGGCATTTTAATCTGACATCAGACAATAAAGTGGAGGTAATAACACTACAGAGAGAGAGAGATGAACCCGTTGCTCAAGGCTGAAAGCTAGCAAATTAGTGGAGGTTTTAGCTGGAACCTAGGCCATATTAGGTTCAAAACTCTGAGTTCAGACACATTAGGTCAAACGGAATAGTGTACTGAATTTTTCAGTATACTTTTTTTCTCCTCCTCTATATCTTTCTCTTTCTTAGTTACACAACACTTCCAAGCGTGACAAAGATCAAACTGGTCAGTGACAGTGGTAACGTTGCCTCCTAGCTTACGGCTTTTCTTCTTCGACCAGGGGTTCTCAAAGTGTGGTTCCTAAATCTATGCAGTAAAGTGGCTTGGAATCTGGTCGACATAGCTAAGTGAGTTTGTCACTAGTAAGAATAAATGATAGCAAGCTAAGTCACTGATGGGACAAAAGAAGTCAGGAAGAAAAGCAATACATGACTTGCATTAACAATAACACTCCCTTAGCTCTAACAACCGATGCATCCCATGAACATCACCACTGCCCACGTCCAACCCCAGTAAAACACTCACCTTCTTTATCAGTAACTGACCAGGAATATTTCTGAAAAGGTTTACTAGATGGAAGGGGGTCCATCTCCAGCACTTTATAAATCTGGCCAAAGGCTGATAGTCTGAGTGCATGCTAAAGAACAAAAGATTATGTTTATTCACATTTTAATGGCCATTCATAAAGCCCTTATGACATTTAAAGACATTCATTAAATGCTATCCTTATGATGGCAAAAGACCCTAGTAACAGATGAGAAATAAGTGTTTAAATAGAACACTTCAGAAAATAAAGTTATGATATCTCTCTAATAGATCACTGTGACATGCCCCATCTTCTACCTGTGCACTGTGGGTAATATCTTCCTTTTGCTGGATGGTCATATAGCTCAAAGCATCTGTTGGGTCTCGCTCACAAGGATCATGAAGACCAGGACCACCTTTGGCAAGGGCAAAAGAAAAACACAAGAACCATTTAGAACTGAGTTTAGAATTCCATGAACTAACACAAAAGAGAGAAAAGAATGGAAAGAAAAAAAAATAGCTGAGGAACTAGGTTAAAAATCTGCTCAATTAAATGGAATAAAAAGGACACTCTCTCATTTTCAATATGTTAACACTCAAATGTCCTTATTTTACTGGAAGTCACTTGCATCTAACGACAAAATTGGGTCTTACTCTGAGAATTTAGAAACAGCATGATGAACCATCCCAGATCTTTAAAGGGATTACATACATAAAATAAGACCAAATTTAATTTTTCCAAATTAAAAACCTGACTGCAAACAGAACGAACTTCATACATTTTAACCAAACATCTACATTTGAAATTCAGCACTCTAGGTAAAGCAAATTCATAGCAGACACAATATCTTATTAGTACCTTTTATGTTAGTACATATAAAACAAAAATTACAGTTATTGAAAGAGAGTTTTATATCATGTTCCCAACATTCAAACATTCTAGTTGCTAACATTCCAAGCAAAATAACACCTACGCATCATTTTCCTGTGCAGAGGACAAATATAGCACATATTTAGAAAAATAAACTAAAATGAAATTTTTCTGATTCTTCTGCCTCCAGAGTTTGAAACCCTTACCAGGAAGTAGTATTCCAGATGCCAAACACTCCATTACTCGTCTCAAGGCCTCCCCAGCGCCCAAAGGTCTATTACAAGTACCTATAGACTTTTCACATATAAGCTCTAGTGGCTAGAAGATATTAAATTACAAATTAGTACATGCACCAAGTGTTAAAAGGATTCCAGTTAAATGTGAGCTGACATTTCTATCTACAATGGAGGCCAAAAAGGTGAAAGTCAACTTAATATTTAGGGCCCAATTAACTCTTCCTGCTTGATTTATCAACTTTTACCCCACCAGAGTTTTTAAATTAATCATTTTTGAGATAACATAGAAGACATTTTGTTACAAAAACCTCATTTTGGGCTACCCTGAAAGGATCACTTAAGAAACTGTGGTCATCTGGTTGATTTAACAAGCTTTATGTATCAGTTAGTAATAGCTAATAACTAATCAATGTTTAAACCCAGCCCACTTATCTCCTACTTAACCTAGGAAGCCATCAAACCACAATAAGACTTCACACAGCCTACCCCAAGTACTACAATTAGAATAAACAAAGGACCAAATCTCCACAGTTAATAAACTAAAAACGCATGTACTATGTCAGAGTAATAACTGCTTGATTAATCTAAAATAATCCATTAGAGGGGCGCCTGGGTGGCGCAGTCGGTTAAGCGTCCGACTTCAGCCAGGTCACGATCTCGCGGTCCGTGAGTTCGAGCCCCGCGTCAGGCTCTGGGCTGATGGCTCAGAGCCTGGAGCCTGTTTCCGATTCTGTGTCTCCCTCTCTCTCTGCCCCTCCCCCATTCATGCTCTGTCTCTCTCTGTCCCAAAAATAAATAAACGTTGAAAAAAAAAAAAAAAATTTTTTTAAAATAATCCATTAGAGCTTTATTTGTTTTATAATGTTCTTCACTGTGGTATTGAGTAGGTCAAGCATAATAATTTCTAAATGAAGTAAGTTTTTGCACGATACATTATAAACCATGCCTGTAGTTGTAATAACTGTACTGTTTGCCTGACTTTACTTACTAAAACAACCATATTTTTAAATGTCTATACTCAAAGAGAAAGAGGATATGGAGCCATATACAAGACATATCAGGTAATTTGTATTTTAAATGGAAGTAGCCCTGAAAGAGAAATGTGTCAGTCAAGGAGGCTTTCAGGGGCACTAGGTGAACAGTAATCAACCATCAGTACAGAGTAAAGTGCAAGAAGTCTCTTCTAACAGGCATAGAACCTTCTTGTCAGAAAAAATATCTCAGGCTCTGTTAACATGAATATGATGAGGTAGGAGGAGACAGGCTATATGTGTAAAAAAGTATCTGAAAAGATGTGCAATTTTTTTCTAGAACAAAAACAGGTAAGGCGCATCTAACTCAGACTGTAGCCATTTTACAGTAACGTGTAATTTCTACAGGATTTCATCTGACTATAGCTACAGCATTTGGTTTTAACCATAAGTACTTACCCATCCTTTTAATGGTGCCCATGTGGGAACTCTGTTGCACAAATCACGCAGAATGCGGAGGACAATTACACATGATTTTAATCCGTTTGCCCTTGCCTAAAACAAACAAAATGATTCCAATATCCCTGTTGAAATCCAATCTTTATTTTAAGCACATGGGACATGGATAGGTTTTTTAAAGTGAATACTAATTATCCAGTCATTCATCAGTTGTCAAGCAAACCAAAAAATCAAGTTATTAAAAGTAGTAAAATTGTAGTTTAGAAAGGCAGATTTTAAAGAAGAGGAAGCATATTATTAAAATAGCTTTTATAGCCTCCTGGTAATCCCATTCTGGGCAACCATCTATCTTAACTTTCAGCTTTTCTCATCCCTGTTTGTACTTTATAAGCCATCATTTGAAATTCAGAGTACTAAGCCAAAAAAGATTATGTGATAATTAAACATCATTAACTGTAATAGAAGTTGTACTCTGCATTTTACCTAAATTAACTCATTTACTCCTAAAATAACCCTATGAGGTAGAAAGCGCCCCCATTTTATACATTACGTGCACAGAAACCATTAAGTGGCAGGTGTTCCAAATGAAACCTGCACAAGGCTACAATAACAATAAGATAATAACAAAGAGCCAACCTGAAACCATTTGGCATGTCGAAGAGACGCCAAGGCGTCCAGGCATTTCTGCCTGTCCAGTAAGTCCGGAGGATCTTTCATCGCAACCTTTTCTAATAGGAAAACGGGATAAAGAGAGACAGATACAATTTGACCAAGGGGTTCCTGTCAAATTACCAAAAAATAAAAATAAAAAGAAGAGCAGCATCTGAATGAACTAATAAGACTCCCAGAAGATTTCACGATTTGGTTTTGTTGCTTTCTTCTTAAATTACGTGCACGATGATTGCATAAGTAAACAGTCATCAGAGCCATTCATTCTGTGCACAAGTACAACAGGAGCACAAGAGCATTCATCCAGTAAACAAATACATGACCACTGCTACATACAATCTGGGATCTTATTAAGCGTATGTATAACATTACAGGGACACAAAATAGGTACATAGCACTTTTGCCTTTGGTGGGGTGCAAAGAGCACAAATCTGGGACCAGGAGCAATAACAACTTTCCTTTACAGAAGAATTGCTGATGAGTTCTTGAGGAAAACTGGGACTCTCTCATGTAATCAATTTGAAATTTACGAAGAATACACTGAGTATAATTTTTTTTTAACAACTAAATAAACTCATCCAACACGAAAACCCTTCACAGAAACTCTGCTCCACTGATAACTCTTCAAGCATCACCTTAACTTCTCTCATTACTTTCTTTTCTAAAACAAAATTATTAAAACTATAATAATGGAATACACTGGAATATTTCAGGTTTTATATACCCTTTTTTTAAGGGCAGCAAAGAATTGTATCTAATTACAGTTATCTGACTTGCCTTAACATTTTAAAGTTGGATTAGATGGCCCAGAGCAGCAGAAGTAAGAATTCAAACATGTGATTAATGATAAATATCTGTATCTGAGAAGACGTCACAATTCTAAATCCAAATTTGGATCATTAAATATATATTTCCTCTAAGCCACTAGGAAGTGAGTTTTTTAAACGATATTTGCTGCAATATTTATAATGCCTACAACATACAAATATTTCCTGAGGAATCATTCTTTGTCTAATCCAATGCAATCAGATGCACCGTTCTCTTGTAAGAACTCTCGCAGATGTAGGAGAGTCCACCCAATGCTTTTTCCTAGAATAATCATAACAGTCACAGAGGCAGTATGTTTGTACGGGCCAAATGATACATTATAAATATTTTTAAATGCAACACAAGATCACTGATACTTTTTGGATTCCTTAGTTATTATAAGATTCTATTAAGGCACTGTACTATATATTCTGACAGACTGCTATTAACTAAAACCAAAAGCATGATGCCCAACAGAAAACAAATCTATGAAAGAATGAACTGTGGCTCTATCCGCTGCAACACTCGAAAGGCTAAAGTGCTACACACTTATTTTCTGACCAGGTGAGCTCTACAGCAGATATTTGCATTGTTTCACATTAACCTCTGCCAACAAAGCCACAACACAGGCTCTCATTCATTGCCCCATTTTACTCACAGAATGGGAAGCCTCAAAAAAAAAAACAAAAAAAACCCTATTAATGTAATTTATAAACACAGATATATTATGAATATGCAGCCATATACTGTGGGTGTTCACTTCACCAATGATCTAGTTCCTGATTTGCTTAATTCTTTTTAATAACATGAAACATACAATGAACTCATTTTAATGTTTTTAAGTCAAAATGCTTAACTGTAGTCAATACAAGCATCTGTGTAAAGCTCATGTACCAGATAAAACAAACTACTGTAAATGAATGATTAGACTCTCTTAAAAGTTAGACATGACAAAGGTTGACTGACTGCTAAATCATGTAATCTCAAGAAAAGTCATGGACAGTATTTTTATTTTTTTAAGACTTCGATCTTCAAATTAAAAGTGATGCAAGCTAAGTTTTATTCAATCATCTTAGTAGGAGTGTTTGGAAGGTGCGGGGCGGGGTGGGGGGGGGAGGGAGGGCTGCAGCGGGCAATGGAAGACAGGAGTGAGTCAGAGGAAGTTTGCATAGGAAAAGACAAGGCAAACAAAAGCTCTTTTTGACCTTTCTGGAACTTTCATCCAGTGGTTGCAGCTTATAAATAACATCTTATGCTCACTGCAACACATATATTTTAAAAGGGGAACAATGGCAAAAATATTTAGGTAAATTCTTTCATCCCCAAGGTCAGATTATAATCACAAACTCTTATAAAAAAATAACAGACATCATCTTGCTACAGACAGTCAACATTTGGAGGCAGTAGATTCTGCTAAAAAGAGATGAAAGGCACAGGCAGTGAACAGAAGGCTTGCACTGGACTCCCTTCACATCACCACCAGAATGACCATGTTTCTTCATGCTCTCATAGTCAAAAAGTCCAAAGATCCAGAATGTTTCAATATTCATGAGAAAGGAAACAGGAGAGGAGATGTAATAGCTCATCTCATTTTGTCTTCTTCAAAGCTTATTTTAAAACAGTATAAATTCATATGGCACTGTAGTGTTACTTATAAGCCCCGCTTGCCTATTTGCTTTCTAGAAAGATAATATAGTTTTATGTTTTTTTTTTTATTCATTAAGAAAAATAACATGGCTATCACAGACTTGCTGCAGGAAAAACAATGCTACTTCTCGTAGCAGAACCTGAAGCTTAACATTTCTGTACGAACTTTAACACGGGTGTTTCAATTTTGTGAAGAAAAACTTTTCTGATAAAAAGACATTTGGAGTCTTTAAATCACAAACAATGGTATGGTGAGCCATTTCATTTTCCTACAGTGACCAGTAGAACAGATGAGAAACAGCAGATGGGATGGGCTTGGCGAGTGACAAAAATGCCGAAAGCAAAGGCAAACAGCTTTTCCAGTAAACTGGCAGAGGGCATGAAGGTACATAAAACATTCTGAACAATGGAAGCACTGGAAGACAAGTCTACTATGCCTAACTTTGCTTATTTGGTTAGAGGTTAGATCAGTGACCAGAAACACACCACACTGCAGGAAATGTTGGTCAGTTTCTCTCAATCCCTTTCCATGCAAGCAAACCCTCTGTCTCTTAAAACACTAGCCTGTTTTGGGGTGGGGTGGGGAAAAGCCAGAACAGGACTGTGTTAAATGAGAGTTACAGGTGTGGAACCTGGGCTCTTCTAAGGTAAAATAATTGTGCTGGATTATCATAAAGGCCTCCTTGACAATCTGGATGTAGCTGGGCTACTGAGTTCACGCCGACAGAATTTTCTAGTTAGCCTGAAGATATCCTGGCAGCCCCCTCTCTCAATTCTTGAGGCTTTGTGAGAGCAGATATTAGGCACCAAACCATTGTCCATGCAAAACATCTGGCCACAATAATGCAGACAGTCAAATGAGGCACTAAGGTAGAACAGAGAGAGCATTGTTCTCCTAATTTATGGCAGAAGTATCACTCGGTAACTTTTCTTCAATGCCTCAGTAGGCAGCTGGCCACTAGAAAGATAATGGCTAAAGATCTGCCCTGGATAGTGTGGGGTCTAGCAGCTGTGGAAGGCAGGAAAATAAAGCCTACTGCATCATTATAATCCCAGTTGTGATCTCTGGACTGTGAGAATCTACTGCTTTCCACTTAGCAGGGCTCATGCTAGTGAGATGTGTCAGAAGTTATGTGAAAGGGACTCTGGGGCAACTTCTCTGTGAACCCCTAAATATTGAGGACAGAGGTTCACCTTAGCCTTAGCCACAAGAGTCGCTGTAGGCTCCCTATCCACCTGGTTTCACACTGCATTGTAAATATAATAAATAGCTGACTGACTACCCTCACAGCAATTATACTTCTTAAAATCACAAGCACTAAAAGAAGCCGAGACTGTATAAGGCTGAGCATAACTAAATCAGCTAAGAGGCTCCTACACTCATTCTAAAGAGTAATGTGAGCAGAGGGTACACTGGACTCCAAGTGGGAGGAGCTGGGAGAAATGGGAGGCTTTCTTCATTTATCAAACAGGGCAATTATTTACCTCATAGGGCTGCTGTGAAGGTTAAATTATATATGAGAAAGGCTTCTAACGCAGGAAGTTATAAAATACTTTAACACAGCTAAATCTTCAATATATACTGCTTGAATATCAAGCCCATTGTTAATGCTTCTTACACACCAGACAGTCCTATTTAATCTGGCAATGTGCTTACTATAAAAATTCATTTAACAGATTTGGGTGGCCACCTACTATGTATTAGGTACCACTGCAGGCACTAGGGATAAAGGACACGGGTAAGGAAAAACATACCTACCCTTGACGAGCCATAACCTTTATAACAAATCAGCTCATGATTAGCGCTGATTAGCACTGCAGCAAATACAGAATACCGATTCTAATACTACACTTCAGTGGATGGTTAAGAGTTTACCTGTGTTTGGGTTCAGGTCCTCAGAGCTATCAAGTACATGCCATTCTCACTGTGAACTCAAGGCAGTTTGAGTGAGTGAGTTTGCACTGGGAATCTTTTTAGGAAGCTAAGTGTAACTACCACTATTTATTGAGCAAATACTTTGTGCTGGGTATTGTATAGCTCACATTACATAAATTCTCTCATTTGACCTCAAACTACTTTCTCAAGTATTTATTAGCCGCAATTTAAAATGAAGAAACCTGGGGCGCCTGGGTGGCGCAGTCGGTTAAGCGTCCGACTTCAGCCAGGTCACGATCTCGCGGTCCGTGAGTTCGAGCCCCGCGGTCGGGCTCTGGGCTGATGGCTCAGAGCCTGGAGCCTGTTTCCGATTCTGTGTCTCCCTCTCTCTCTGCCCCTCCCCCGTTCATGCTCTGTCTCTCTCTGTCCCAAAAATAAATAAACGTTGAAAAAAATAAAATAAAATGAAGAAACCTGTCCGAGATCACACAGTAAGAATACCTAATGGAGTTAACGGGCGCCTGGGTGGCTCAGTCTGTTAAGTGTCTGACTCTTGATTTTGGCTCAGGTCATGATCTCACGGTTTGTGGGTTCAAGCCCTAAGTCAGGCTTTGCGCTGACAGCACACAGAGCCTGCTTGGGATTCTCTGTCTGCTTCTCCCCAATTGCACGTGTGCTTTCTCTCTCTCTCAAAATAAATAAATAAACTTAACAAAAATACATTTTCTTAATTTTTTTCATGTTTGTTTATTTTTGAGAGACAAAGCATGAGTGGGGGAGGGGCACAGAGAGAAAGAGACACAGAATCTGAAGCAGGCTCCAGCCTCCGAGCTGTCAGTACAGAGCCCAACATGGGGCTTGAACCCACAACCCATGACATCATGACCTGAGCCAAAGTCTGACACCCAACCGACTTGAGCCACCCAGGCGCCCTTACACTTAATTAAAAAAAAAAAAAAAAAAAAAAAATACCTAATGGAGTTAAGAATTGAACACCTGACTGCCAGGCACAAAGGTCTGTGCTTTTTCTCCAATGCCTTCTTTAGCAGGAAGCACATGGTAATGGGGAATGGTTATTCTACAGGGCCTTCAAGTAAAGGGTCAGAGTATGGCAAGAAGACTGACAGCACAGGAGGAATCTTACCTGTGAAACAGTAAACAATACCAAAAAGATTCACTCCGCAGTCTGGCCACTGAAAACGTAAACAGTGATCTGAGTGAATAGTTAGACCCACTTCTGCAGAGACAACCCTGAGGAGCTAGGTGTGATGTTTTCACCTGCCCCAGTCCTCTGCTTCTCCCTGCTTGCAACCATGCTTTTTTCCTTTAAGATTTTACCCAAATATGCAGCAAGTGAAGAGAGGGAAGAGAATGATGTGAATGTATATGTATTGTGAATAGTTGGTTTGTTTTGTGGGGAGGGGAGATGTTGAGATTCTATAGGAAAATGCCTCCTCAAATAAAGTTACATCACATATTGTTCTAAACTTTGAGGAAAAAAACTGAGTGGACATTTTGAAAAGGGGTATATCTCTCAGTCTTACAAATTTCTGGAACCCAAATGAATCCTGTACCTTTACCCCATGCAGCTGAAAAGAACTGCATCAAGGCAGGAGGAGTTGTCTGGTGTGAGGAAACAAGTCCTATAGAATCGTACAGCCCAGGTCTCAAATGCTCAGTCATGCTGGACCCTCAAAGTTGCTCAGGAATACCCGAAACTGCAGCGCAGATCAAAATGAATCTTGAAAAAGCCCAGGTTAGACAAAATGTGCAAATTATAAGAGATAACAGTGAGTCAACATAGCTGGGAGGTTAAGGACAATATTTGCAAGGCAAATCTTTCTTCCACTCAAAACGAGAGGAAGTAATGTGTTTTACACATTACATCCAGGCAGATTCTTTCACCTTATCTGATCCCACACAATAATGTTAACATCAACTGATGAGATTCAGTTCATAAGGGTATTGGGATCCCTTAGTAACCCAAACACCCTGAACAGAGACTATGACTCTCCCACTTTACTACAAATTCCATTCTACAATAACTAGTCTTCTAGTAAGGGTTGTGTACACTAAGAATTTGTTTCCAGCTTCTGTGAACAGAAATTAAAGTTATAAAGGTAACAGACTAAGCTTAAGGGTATCACAGAAAACTATGACATAATCTCACATAAGTACACAAAACCATGAGGAAAAAAAGAAACCCTTATGTTATCTTAACATTATCAAAGAAATAACAAAAGAGATACCTACAGCTACAAGCAGATGTATAATTAATCTAGTCTTTGGCGATTTCAGTCTTTTTCTCACCTCTCTATACTATCTCTATTGTTAATAATACCTATAATTATAACTATTCTTAGAAGTGGTTGGCTTTACACTAGAGGGTCAAGTAGAACACAGCTTACCAGAAATAACAGAATTATCTTGACACTTCAGAAATCATTTTATAGTTCTACAGTTAATGGTGAACTGTAAAGCTGTTAAAGAAATTAAGCTGCTTAAGATTGGTTCTTCAGAGGTATGATAGATACTATACACAGCAAAAAAAAAAAAAAAAAAAAGAAAGAAAGAAAGAAAGAAAGAAAAAGTACTGGCATAAACCCAATTACAGATTGGATGCACTTTAATTTTGAAATATGACTCATTATGTGTCTAGTTTATATCTGTGGGGTATGGTACAGCTGATTTTAGTTACCCCAAAAAACTTTTAAAAAAGAGTCTATCACTTTTACTTTAAGAGATCCTATGAGTCATGTCTGCCTAAACTCTAAATTCTAACATCACTAATGTGTCTTTTACTACACCTTTATTATCATCAACTTGACATAAATAAGGAAACTGACCAATATTTCTTACTGCACTGGTATTTCAGGGAGGGGACCTGCTGAATGTCTAGTGATGAAGAAACAGCAACAGGGAGTCCCCACTGGCCCAGAAAGGCCACACTGCCTCTAAACTGTCATGACAGAGAGGGGCCAGTTGGTCAAAGGTCTGACATAGGACAAATATCACATGGCAAGTGTTCCTAGGGATAGGACTGAGAGGCAGAAACAAGCTAACTTGACAGGATAAAAACATCAGAAAAAGAAGCCCATTATTCCTTTTCAAAACTGAATAGACTTCTCACTCTACTTTTATGAGGACGACACTGCCATCCATACAAGAATGCTTTTTAACTTCAGAAGAAAATTAATTTAAGGCGTAATTCCCACATATGTCATATATAGAATGCTAACGGGATGACAAACTTCCTAGAAAAAAATGTACTAAAGATTAATTTTTAGAAAACAATGCCCCAATTTATATCTCTTACATTATAAAACATATTTACACATGGACAATTAGGTAAAGCATAAATCTTACAAGATTATAATAGTTACTGGAAGTCAAAAGCAATGTGCAAATGAGTCATTTGAAACAAGTGAGTAAATTCGAAAGCAATATTTTTCTGGACATTTAATCCTAAAATCAAACTACAAATCCTAATAGCCAAACTACATAGAATAGATTGGCTGATACCAATCACCATGCAATAGTAGACAAAGTGAAACAAAATACTAAAGTAGTATAAAAACAAAAGCAGAGTTAAGACCAACATGATAATCAACAGATTTTTTGAATTAACGTATATCTCAAATGTATACATTTTTGCAAAATATGGCGATTATGCAGAAATAAAGCTTTTTAAAATACTAGGAGAGGTATAAAACAAATGAAGATAGTTACTTCTGAAATCCATAAAGCACACTTAACATAGCATTCAAGAGAGGTCTTACATGAGCAAAACAAATATATATATACATGTGTACCTCCATCCTTCTTCTCCAATTCGTCCCTAATTAGCGGGGAAGTAAGTATCACCTTCAAAGTTAGCGTGGGCTCTTTTGTATTCCGAATTATAATAGAAGCCTCATCTACACATTGTTCCACTTCATATTTCTCTTCTGTGAGTTTCTGAAAGTCACCAAGATTTCAAAAACACCCAATTAGATTAAGATCTCAAAAAATGAATGACTCTTAGTTTTCAAATGTTATTAACTGTCAGTATTACTGTGCTGGAGTAAAGTCTTTAATAGCTCTTTAGTTTAGGAAGACCATTTCTCTCTCCTCCCAACTTACCAACAAATCTTCTTTCTCCACCCCTCAAAAAGCAATCACAATGTCAACCATCTTTGCAATTATTAAACAATCTTTAAAACCATTCTTTCTAATATTTGAAAGTAAAATACCAACAGCATCATTATGTGATAACAGGTATACTGTTATTCTTGAAATTCTTACAGAGAACAACTGTACAATAATAAATTGCTGAGAATGCTCTCTAAGCCACATCCCTTTTTGACAGGACCATCTCAAAAGAACTCCTACTTGCTAAGGACATACAAATATAAAATTAATTGACTTTTATATAAGATTACATAGATTTTTAAAGAGAACTAAGTAAGAAAGAATGAAAAAGGATCTCTACATTGGCACTTACCAGGGAAAAAATCAGTATAAACAAGTAACTTCTTTTCCCAAAGAACAGGTAGGTCTCAGAGATCACTCCAGTGAGACCTATCATTATGGGACAAGTTACCTGACATCCATAGGAAAACACACTGCTTCATCTAACATATAATTACATACATGTAATTCAAGGGCCTCCCGCAAAATAATCAACATTTAGAATTACATATTAAATTACACTTAACATTATACATTAAACATATAGTTTAATAATTTATACAAGGTCTTTCTTGGTGGTGAAATTTATATCTATTACCTGACATAAATAGCTGAACGGAAACACTACTAGGTTTCTCCTCATTAGTGTGCACTAAAAGGACTCAAACCCATTTTCATAAAAATAGCATTCTGCCATTAAACATTTATATCAAAAAAGACAGCAAATAGAAAATTCACTATCCTAATTTTGAATAGAGGAAACCAAGGAAGGGAAAGACCACACAGTAACTGGAAAAACCAGAACTAGATTATAGAGAAAAAGCAGAAAACTGCTCACATTGCCACTATAATAACAATGATGTGGAGCAGAGAATTAGTCAAACTAATTTTCATCTATGCATGCGGATCACCATGGTATAAGTTTTGGGTTCAAGGAAGTTCTAAAATCGACCTAGAAAAGAGTATATAGGGAAAAGGTATGGTACAACTTTAATTAATTAAGGTAGTTAGATTACTGAAAGTTTTCCTATGGTAAGTGCTAAGGAAAAAGATTTTTTAATTCATAAGAAAATAAGATCATTATCATATCAGAAACTGATTTTCCAAACAAACACCAAGAAAACAACAGGGAGGTAGAGAGTAAAGGCAGAAATCACACTTAAAATGATTTTCTGAAATATTAACCATAATAGTAATAATATGTGTGTTTGTGTGTATGTATATTGGCAAGTATGTGTACATGTATACAGTTTAATCTGAGATGGGGGTACAATTAATTATGTCCCCATTTCACTTGGATACCTTTACCCAAATACCTATAGTAATGGATCTAACCATCACACAAAGCAGTTGGTTTCAAGGGCTGGATAATACTACTGGCTATGTTAAAGTGAAATACCTCTCTCATAATGTCTACCACTGGTCTTAAGAGTTCAGGCCTCTTTTACCTTCTCTAAGAAGCCCTTCAAAGATCAAAAGGTATCTGTCTTTTTTCTTTTTTGTCTTCTCTAGCCTAAAAAGCCCCGGTCTCTTCAAATTTAAAATGGTTTACAGAGACTGCACTCTCTCCTGGGTCATTCCCTTGAACACTTACTTGAAAGCTCAACAAAAACATGTTAAAACTGTGGTGCCCAGAAATAAAGACCCTCGCCGAGGAGAGAAAAAATGCAGAGTTTACACAATTGTGATCTGCACAGAGAAAGCTCTATTACTGCAGACTAAAATCTGACCCAATCTCTCATATCAATACTGGAGACATGTGATAGATTTTCAGAATAAGAACTTTGGTTTGTTATAGTCCTGGTACCTAACCCCTTTTCCACCCTGGCACAGCTGAGGAATAGGACCACTCTCGTAAGAAACAGGACTCACTGCAGGAGCAGAAGTGGAGGTGGGATGGTTGAAAGCCTCCATGTCCCACCCTGGGACTACTATTTTTACCCTAGATTTGATTTAAGAGTAACAGTGTTCACCATAACAAAAGCAGGAATACAGATTAAATTTTAAAACATAAAATACAGAAATGAGGAATTTTATTAACATGCTAGTAATAAAAAGTATAATTAGCCAGAAATTCGTTATTGAGCTGTTTCTTCAAAGCCCTATTGTACTCCACGTTGCTCACCACTCTCCCTTCCCAAATGATAACAAACGGACTTAAAATAATTTTTTTATAATAAATTTAACCCTTTGAAAGACCAAAAACATTTCTTCATGAGAAATGAAAATGGAAAGGCCAAATATATGCTCAGTAACCTAGAAGACCTTAAGATCTAAGGCAAAATGAAACAACAGTGCTCCAAAAATTAATATAGGTAAATGTGTCAATAAGTAACACAAATTTGAGTGCCAAGAACAGTAGATAAAAAAGTCAGGAAGGTGGTTTTGAAGATCAACTGGTAAATATGAAAGAAAATTATCCAGTAACAAAGCAAGTAAAAACAAATTTAGAATTCATATTACTTGGGGGAAAAAAAAGAGCCTGCTTACAAAAGAAACCGACTAAAGAAAAGAAAGCATTCAACTCAAAGGACTTTGGGGGACCTTGTGGGCTGTTATCTATTTATGTGACATGAATATAAGGACTACCAATATGAAATCATCAAAAAGCTACAATCTAATTATACCACTGACAACACATCTATAACTGAAAGGTGATCACGGTTCCTCAAACAGTGATGCAGCTGGCCTTGGAGCAGACTGGCAGAGCAGGTCCTAGGGTGGCCACAGCCCCAGACCAACCTGTTGTCTTCAGCCCTGAGGAGCCTTCTGACTTCACAACAGCATTCGCCAAAAAGGCATGCCAACATCAAAATTTTCTAAAAGCATCCAACTGGAAAAAGGTTTGGAACAAGGAATTAACAGGGACTTTCCATTAACAGAATGAATGAATGGGTGACTATTAAATTAACTGAGTTTTCAATTTGAAAAGTTATCACCTACAAAAGTCTCTAGTTGTCTAGGCTCTTTTTGATCTTTTCTGCATTATACCACCCCTTCCAAGAGGTTTACAATGCTGAGAGACCTAGTCTGAAAAACATGAAGCCTCTGAGCAAGGCACACCTGAAAATTGAAGGGCCATCTTAATCCGATAAATATATCCTGAGTGCTAACCAGCAGAAGTTTGTTTTAAATGTGATGGATGAGTCACTGACCCAGAGTAGCAGCATTCCTTTTGTCTGTACCCTACCCTTTACTATTACCAATTTCTTATCATTGATTTCATCAAGGTCACTACCTGTTTTCACCTTTTTACAAATTCTCCTAGAGGTGCAATTAAACTGTACTCACCTGAATCTGAATAGGAAGATTATCTTTGACTGTATTTAACAGGGTCTCTGTGGGTTTGTCTTTGCACATTAAAACCAGCTCCAAGTCCATATCATCTTTAATCAGCAAGCCTTTTGCAACCAGGCCAATCCTCATTACACCACACAATGTCCGACCACCTTGATCCCTAAAAATAAAAGTCTAAATGATTACTTTTACAACCTATTTCTCAAACTATCACTTAATCATCACTTGGCTTCCTGGATATTCATATGATCAAAAATTAAGTTTCGGATTTAAGACTAATAAAGTATCTATCTTCCCTAAGGAATCAATAGGGAGCATATTTCATACTACAGATCTTTTAATTCTTTATTACATCTATACTGCTTATTAGCAAAGTCCTTAAATAACATTTTTTAAATTATTTTTAAACTTCCTCCTTTTATCTTTTTATTAGTAATTAAAGAATTTGTGAAAACCTGTTCACCAAAGTATACTGAAAAAGAGCATCAGGGTGGAAATTTAAAAGACCTGAACTCTACTCTTAGAGCAGAGTAGAGCCTGCTGGCTCATTATCCATAACTGCAAAACAGCTATCAGCTACATGAGCCTTCTAGCTGTATCATTCTAGGAATCCACAAAAGATTATGGGGAAAGCAGAATAATGCAATGAAACTAAAAAGCTGAGGAATGAAGGAAGAAACCGAAGATATTCTGCCAGTATATGCATTCCAAATCCGGCTGTGGCTAAAAGAACAAACATTCAAAGAACATAGTCATGAACTAGTGCATCAAAATAATATGAACATCTATCCTTAATTTTAATACTAAAAATCTTATTGGTTCATTTCCCATATCGCAAAAATGTAGCTAATGTTAGCAGTCATTCAACAAGTAAGCCTTTGAGAACAGAAAACATACTAAAGGAAATCCAATCTCCCCTGCTTCTGAGGCTTACACTGTAGTTAAGTACAAAAAGTAACCTGCTTAAAAGGGACAAACTGTGTGTCACAAACTCTGATTTAAACTTCACAAGTTTGCATTTTTTTTTTAATTTTTTTTTTCAACGTTTATTTATTTTTGGGACAGAGAGAGACAGAGCATGAACAGGGGAGGGGCAGAGAGAGAGAGGGAGACACAGAATCGGAAACAGGCTCCAGTTTCTGAGCTGTCAGCACAGAGCCCGACGCGGGGCTCGAACTCACGGACCGTGAGATCATGACCTGGCTGAAGTCGGGCGCTTAACCGACTGCGCCACCCAGGCGCCCCAACAAGTTTGCATTTAAAAGACAAGGAATGTGAATCTCAGAAAAGCTGACTAATTGTTCAAGTTCAGAGAGATAGTAAAACACAAAGCCTGGATTCAAACTTAAGTTGGTGTAATCACAACACTCGGATTCTTTACATTGTTACAGTTGCTTCCCAAGTTCAGAGAAAGAAGAGGTCAAAATTAGAGAGGTCAAGCAAGGCAATCTGAAAGTCTGACTTCAGCAGTCTTGATACGGTTAAAGAGAGAAAAGGTCATTCTGGCTAGGGCAGAGAATCAGCAAAGTGGAGAGTGGAGAGTGGAGAGTGGAGAATGGAGAAGGAGAAAGGAGAAGGGAGAGAAACAAACTGTGGCAGTAGAAACAAGACAGGAAGTTATAAATAATCCAGACTGGTTAAGTGGCTGGCACACCTTCGAGATGCAATAAACATTAAATCAATAAAAAAAAAACTGTAAGGGTAGTATGAATACAGAAAGAAAAAGGGTTTTAAAGCAAGTGATCCCGCCAGTCAGAGTGGCCAAAATGAACAAATCAGGAGACTATAGATGCTGGAGAGGACGTGAAGAAACGGGAACCCTCTTGCACTGTTGGTGGGAATGCAAATTGGTGCAGCCACTCTGGAAAACAGTGTGGAGGTTCCTCAAAAAATTAAAAATTGACCTACCCTATGACCCAGCAATAGCACTGCTAGGAATCTATCCAAGGGATACAGGAGTACTGATGCATAGGGGCACTTGTACCCCAATGTTCATAGCAGCACTCTCAACAATAGCCAAATTATGGAAAGAGCCTAAATGTCCATCAACTGATGAATGGATAAAGAAATTGTGGTTTATATACACAATGGAATACTACGTGGCAATGAGAAAAAATGAAATATGGCCTTTTGTAGCAATGTGGATGGAACTGGAGAGTGTGATGCTCAGTGAAATAAGCCATACAGAGAAAGACAGATACCATATGGTTTCACTCTTATGTGGATCCTGAGAAACTTAACAGGAACCCATGGGCGAGGGGAAGGAAAAAAAAAAAAAGAGGTTAGAGTGGGAGAGAGCCAAAGCATAAGAGACTGTTAAAAACTGAGAACAAACTGAGGGTTGATGGGGGGTGGGAGGGAGGAGAGGGTGGGTGATGGGTATTGAGGAGGGCACCTTTTGGGATGAGCACTGGGTGTTGTATGGAAACCAATTTGACAATAAATTTCATATATTAAAAAAAAAATAAAAAAAATAAAAAAAAAATAAAGCAAGTGATCCAAATAGGAAATTATTTGATATTAAGAAGAGAGTCCATCACCTTTGATTCTTTCTTCTTCTGTATCCCTGTCCTCTCATCTTCTCATTCTCCCCAAACTAGTAACAGTGATGAATTCTCCCTCCACAATCACCCTCAAACAAATGCCTTCAAACTAGCTTCTTTTCAGGCTCGAAGTGCCTCTCACCTAGACTACCTCAATAACCACCTCTTCATTGGCCTTAACGACTAACTTCTGCCACCTCCAATCTACTATAGACAGTACACCACTACCAGAATAATCTTCCAACAGCACTGCATGGATGGCACTTTGCCTATTTCTTTCCAGGTGTCCCACGGAACACTTAAGTAAACATTTAGCATCCTGGGAGGCGACTGAGAAGACAACATGACTTCCTGGTCCAGATTCTGGCTCTGCCACTCACTATGGTGACACTAGGTAAATTACAAATTACCTGACTCTTCTGAACTTACTTTCTCATTTGTAAAACAGAAAAAAAAATACCTTCCTTACAGAGTGGTACTAAGAATATCATGTAATTTAATGTAAGTAATGAATTTAGCCCAGATCCCGGCATATATTAATAGCTCAATAAACAACAGCTATCATTCCCTAAATGGTCCCGATGCTTTCTCACACCTAGATCTTTGCTGAGATTGTTTTTTCCCCCCACTTTTCAGCTGCTTGCAGAAAGCCTAGCCATCCTCTGAGCCTACTGCAAATGCTACTTCCTTCATCAAGTTTTTTCTGGTCCCCAGAACCAGCATACAATCTCTCCCTGATCTACACAGTCACAGAAATTTGAGACAAAGATGCTAAGAAAACTGGACCTGTGGTCCAACAGATGAATAGGAATCCTGACTCCACCACACACACTCATTCACTGACCTAAAGCAAGTTAAAGTTTGTTAATGATTCTGAGCTACTCTTTTCATATGCAAATTTGAAGCAACTGAAAATTCTATAGTAAAATGGGGGCAGAAGAGGGAAACGATAATCACAGAGACTAACAGATTTGTCATAACATAATGTGAAAAACGGTCTGGTACAGTAACTGGCACTCAATAAATGCGAGCCATTATTAACTAACCACTATTACTTGCTACTTAAACTCTATATCATAATTAGGATACGCTTGGTCTTAGGCAGAAGACAGCAAGACTGAGCAGAGAAATGAACTCCAACTTTAGTACTGAATTTAAATATAGGAGATATTGTAAAGCAAACACAGGGTATTACTTAACATTAAGAACAGAGCCCTCATATTCCTAATAACATAAATAGTGGGACCTTTCTTTGACTTTTGAGTAGTCTGTAAAATGAGCACACGGCGGGGCACCTGGGTGGCTCAGTCAGTTAAGCGTCTGACTTAAGCTCAGGTCATGATCTCATGAACTGTGAGTTTGAGCCCCGAGTTGGGCTCTGTGCTGACAGCTCAGGGCCTGGATCCCGCTTCGGATTCTGTGTCTCGTTCTCTCTCTGCCCCTCTCCTGCTTGCACTCTTTCTCTCAAAAATAAATAAACATTAAAAAAAAGTTTAAAAAAAAGAAAGAGTACACAGGTACAAGCTGCTTAACAGTGCCTGGCAATAGAAGGTGCTTAATAAATAGAAGCTAGCCCTCACCCACTTTGGTGCCCTCTACAGTAATTAGCATACATCAGCAGCTCAATTCGTGTTTATGATCAGAAAACAGCTCTGTTCCTGGAAGATGTGCCTGCCTCTGTTTTATACAAAATAAGGATCCAAACATTCTGCACTCCCTGAGCTCTACCACATGGGAGGAACTGCAAAAAGTGCTCAGCCTGGGATTGTTCACAAAAGGGAAAGACTTTACAAAGACAGTCAAGAGTACCCACACATAGAGCTATATTTACAAGTCCAAATGAAAATGTGGAGCACATTATCTTTTAAAAACTTTTAAAAACACAGTGACCTGATCCAGTTAAGCAAAAGTCTGCTGGAACACTTTTCAAAAGTCTGTCCAGCCTTAAAAATAAACAACGGAAGAAGTATTAAGAAGGCCTGAATTCCAACAATAAATGAAACTCCACTTAAAAATGGGTAAGCATCTGGGGCACCTGAGTGGCTCAGTCAGTTAAGTGTCCGACTTCAGCTCAGGTCATGATCTCATGGTTCGTGGGTTTGAGCTCGGCATCAGGCTCTGACAGTTCAGAACCTGCTTCAGATTCTCTGTCTCGCTCTCTCTCTGCCCCTCCCCTGCACGCACTCTCTCTCTCTCAAAAATAAATAAACTTTTTTAAAAAAATGATGAATCGTCTGACTCTTGATCTCAGGGTTCCTGGGATAGAACCCCACATTGGGCTCTGCACGACAGCCCAGAGACTGCTTGCGATTCTCTCACTGCAAAATGGTATGAGGCACCTGGGTGGCTCAGTCAGTTGAGCATCCGACTCCAGCTGAGGTCATGATCTCACGGCTCCTGAGTTTGAGCCCCGTGTCGGGCTCTGTGCTGACAGCTCAGAGCCTGGAGCCTGCTTCAGATTCTGTGTCTCCCTCTCTCTCTGCCCCTCTCCCACTCATGCTCTGTTTCCTTCAAAAATAAACATTAAAATTTTTTAAATAGATAAATAAAAATGGAAAAAAATGGCAAATTTTGTTATACACATTTCATCAAAATTTTAAAAAAGTTTTTGAAAGGGCATAAACACATTCCAAAGTACAATTTAAATATGGAGTGCATGACTATTCAATTTGCACAGAGACTGGGGCTAGATTACTGGATTCTACTACTAATTGACATAAGCCTCAAAATTTGGAAGTATCTACTTTAAAACCGTAATATACAAGAAAAAAATTACTGCCAAGAACCTTCAAACTGACAAGGGTAGGACTATACACAATGTAGACATTACCTGCAAAGAGTTAACAAGGTTAAAGAATTATGTGGTTCAACTGAAAACTGAAACTGATTACCTTGCATCTGAAGATGAAAAGGTTACACTGTCAGTGAAGAAAATCAATTTATCAATACTTCCCCACTATTCTTTATCTATTTATCACTTTTGTTTCTTTGTTTATTTCAGAGAGAGCGCGTGCACACAGAGGGAGAGGGAGAAAGAGAATCTTAAGCAGGCTCTGTGCTCAGCGTGGAGCCTGACACAGGCTCACGAGTCAAGAGTCAGACGCTCAACCGACTGAGCCACCCAGGCATTCATCCTCTTATTTATCTAACACTTAGAAATGAAAGCTGAAGAAAAAATTCTATAACCTCCATGTTCAATTTATAAGTTGCAGCCAAAGCAATGCTCTTAATCCTATAAATACAGTAAGTCAAATGAGCTTCTCCTTTAAAGTAAATCATACTCATTCCAATCATAATGACACTGCTCAAGACAAGAAGCTTACTATTACGGCACACAGAGTTCCATGATCTGATTGCAGTTATCCTACGGCTTCATCTAACTCATCTCTTACTATTGTTACAACACTGAGAATACTCTGCTATAAAGCTGAAGGCTCTGGCTCCCATTAGTCCTTCATTCATTCCTCAAATACCCAATGAGCATTTACTAAGTGCAAGACACTGTGCTGAACACTAGGAATCAACAAGGTAGATATGGTCAGAAATACATTTAGAACACATTTTCCTGCATTCTCTCTTTTCCACCAGGATTTTTAAATACCTTTAAAAAAAAATGACATTTTATGATTTCCCCAGAGACCCAAAACACAACTATTTATTTCTGAATTTAGGAGGCTAAGCCAACACATGAAAAAGGTGACATTTCATAATCTCCAGAAATGACAGTTTTAAAGGGCTTGGTGCACTCTCAAAAGGCATCCTGAACAAGTCCATCCTCTCTTTCTGGTCTAATTATTATTCTTTTCTTGCTTTCGTTTCAAATGTAACTCAGAAAAATTCCACAAACATTTACTTCCTTGTCTACGGTCATATAAATGAGAAAACCTAAACAACCTAACATAGCCCAGTGGAAGAGAACCCTGAGCTTTTCTGAGCGCTGCAGTAAAGCACCACAAAGGTCAGGCCACACTCACTTGGAATAGGTGTCTACGGCCTCATCCTTCTTCACTTCTGTCTCACCCTCTGCTTTTGTGCCTTTATTTGTTTCATCAAGCCAATCTGAGACATGTTTAAGAGCACATTCAACAGTAGACACCATATTCTGAACAGCTTCAAGTTCCTCTGGAGATGGATAGATTGTTGAATGTTTCACCATTACATGGCGATCATCATTGGCAAAAGATCTAATAGATCTCTGTCAGAAGAAGAAAGAAAACAATTACTTCAATACAAGGAATATTACCTGAAAAGTAGGATATGCAAATATTGAATATTTAAGTCAAATCATAGCATTAATTATCAAACTACTGTGAAACAATTAATGTTGAGACAATAAAAAAATTGCACAGGAATATGAAGAAAAACCTCATTCTACTAAACCACATCAGAAAATTAGAGATCCCAGGGCACCTGGGTGGCTCATTCGGTTAAGCATCTGACCTTAGCTCAGGTCATGATCTCACAGTTAGTGAGTTCAAGCCCCGAATTGGGCTCTCTGCTGTCAGGGCGAAGCCCACTTTGGGTTTTATGTCTCCCTCTCTCTCTGTCCATCCCCTACACCCTCTCTCACTCATGCCCTCAAAAATAAACATTAAAAAAAGAAAGAAAGAAAATTAGAGATCTTTCCTTCATGTTTTGGCTAAGATTCATCCAGGTTACTCTTGGTATAATGCACATTACCGTTTACCTCAAATCTAGTGTTTTGAATACCACTTCAAAAAAGGTCACCTGTATCACACATCATCTACGAGAAACAGATACTTCTTTTTTTTTTTTTAATTTTTTTTTCAACGTTTATTTATTTTTGGGACAGGGAGAGACAGAGCATGAACGGGGGAAGGTCAGAGAGAGAGGGAGACAGAGAATCGGAAACAGGCTCCAGGCTCTGAGCCATCAGCCCAGAGCCTGACGCGGGGCTCGAACTCCCGGACCGCGAGATCGTGACCTGGCTGAAGTCGGACGCTTAACCGACTGCGCCACCCAGGCGCCCCTTGAGAAACAGATACTTCTTAGCTTTGAGAAAGTATCTAGAAATGCATGATGGTGACTCATGATAACCAGTCATTCCTTTCCAAATTGCTGAGGACTTTGGCACCTTAAAAAATTGAGATTTCATAATACAGTAATAATATAAAATACAAAGTTAATGTGTCAACACTATAGAAAAACTATGGATCACATTAGAAATCTATTTACTATTTGGCATTGAAACCTCTGGTGCAAGGCCTTGATTTTTAAAATAGATTTGTAGGAAACATTCCAAACTCCAGAAGGGGGAAAATATATACTGCAAAAGAATCAACTTCCCAAAGTAATTTACAAATGTATTACATTCTCAATCAAAATCCCCTCAAGATAGATTTACTTAATACTCAACAAAAATCATTTTAAAGCTCCTTTGGGGGGGAAAAAAAATCAATGAAACCATCAAGAAATATTCTACAAAGATGGATGAGTGGTATAATTACATGAAAACAAAATATCAAAAATTTAAAAAGCAGTAATTGAAGTGACACGCTGGCCCAGAAATCAGTGGAGCAGATTAGAGCCTAGAAATAGAATGAATTTCATGAAAATTTAATAGACTATATCCTCCACACTCATGACTCACACTTCCAAAAACTTTTGAATACTTCCAAATTTACAAATACCATGAAGACACTTGTAACAGTACACTGCAAAATGAACAGGGATAAGACAGTTCAGTTTCCATAAAGCCCAAAGTATTCCATTTAAAGGGTGGCTATAGTGTCTTTATATGAACTTTTATGTGCTAGATGATAAATATTTTGTTGGGTTTTAAAAAAAAATTTTTTTTTAACATTTATTCATTTTTGAGAGTTAGAGAGAGAGAGCATGAGAGAGGGGGGCAGAGAGAGAGGGAGACACAGAATCCCAAGCAGGCTCCAGGCTCTGAGCCATCAGCACAGCGCCCAACACGGGGCTCGAACTCACGGGCTGCAAAATCATGACATGAGCTGAAGTCGGACGCTTAACCGACTGAGCTACCCAGGCGCCCTGATAAATATTTTGTTTTAAAGGCTACCACAAAATAAAAAATTCTCAATTCTTTATCAGTCCTGTCTCTTTTGTTTTGTTTTTGAGTATTAATGTTTAAAAATCATACTAATTTGGACACTAGTAAATACTATAGTATTACTGTCCCCTATAAAATGAAGCAAACTATAAAGGTAAATAATCCTTTGAAACCCTCAAATATAATAAAAGGATGAAAATCAATCACAAAGCTTTTTTTCTAGATAAAAACCATTTCTGTCCAGATTTTCTCCTTGCTCAAAGTTCACAACCAGTTTTCTAACTGGAGCCTTTTCCCTCAAAGAAATAAACTTTTTCATCATTTCTTGAGATTTACTCTCATATCCCTAAATGAGTAACAAGAAAACAAAACAGACCTATAACAAATTGGAGACGCTAAGTTGTTCTAGGGATAAATTATTAAATTATTTGATTTGCTCTTTAGACAAGAAGAAATTTACTAATTTTTTAGTTCTGGATGGCCGCAGGCCATGGGAGGTAGATGTTAACTTGGGATCTTCTCTGTTATTTAGTTGTAGGGTGAGTTACTAAATTACTTAGCTAAATTACTCAGTCCTCCATACTGGCTTCACCTTAACAAAATTACATATCGCTACATACCACAAACCTTTGGTGTTTCCCTCACAAATAACATAGACTGGCAATGTTAAATCCAAAATCTTAAATCCATGAGTCTACTGGATGTGACAGGACAAGCAGCATGAAACAATGATGAATGGAAGAATAAGAGGTAGGACAAAAAAAAGGAGGGGGCATCTTATTTACCCTAACAAGGTCCAAATGGATTTGTTTAAAGATTTATACATTTAAATTGGAAAAGAACTATGCAGAAACAGAAAGTTACCATTCAGATCTAAGATCTAAGAAGTAAAGCAATAGCACTGGAAAACACCTACCAACCAATTAAATTACTACACCAGAAAACCTAAATTTAAAATGAATAAACTAGGAAAGGAATTTTTTTTTTATTAACTATGACAAATAATATTAAGAAACATATAAATTGTAAAAATATCAAGACTATAATAAATAAATGAGCTAAAGAGGCAAATATTTCATATTCGAGAAAACATCAAGTCCCAGTGTCCTTTCTTACATCTCAACTAAAACTAAATGACAGAGAAAATCCCAAGTTAACATTTGCCCCACCATCCAGAACTAAAATATTTGGAGAATTTCTTCTCTAAAGAGGAAATCAACTAAGTTATAATCCCTAGAACAAATTTTTAAAAAATTAACACTTAAAAAAATACCATCAGGCTTGCTAAACAACATATTTCAAACATACTGATGATTAATATTTTTGTGCTTTTTCTCCCACTTATAACATCTTTTTTAAGCCTTTTCTCACTTATACTTAGGGAAAAAATTCACACAACATCCTCCAGAACCAAAATACTAGAGGAAAAAATTCAACACATTTTACCAGTTAATACACTAGGCACCAAAGGTTACGATCTCATTTAACATCTCATTTGAGTATGAACTTCCCACAAAAAGCAAGGTTTCTTGAGAGAAGATTCAGTGCCCCCAATACACTCAAAACTTGATCCTGTTACTTTGAAAGCATGTGGGAAAAGGTGACTTTTTGAGTTCAATACTCAAACTTCATAAACTCCTACACCATTCACATCACTCATTAAAGGACTGGTTCAAGATTTTTAATTTCCACTGGAAAAAACTAAACTTCAGAGAAAAGACTAGTGAAAAATTACATAATTTCAAGTTCAAGGTCACCTAAGCCATCCTTCTATCAGTTTGCTAACACCAGTTTTATTAGAAAATATTATTTATGAGTATTTAATAATTTATGGCCTGAAGGCTCATGGGGCTCCATCTTGTGGTTTAAAGGGTTCATAATAAATCTGAACTCATTGGCTTTGCTTAAATAGTGGAGTGCCATCTTTGTCTGATGCACGAGAGCCAAAATGTAACACCATTGTTTTTTACTTGCCCTCGTTATTAACATTTCCGATTTTAAACTAATTGGAATTTATTAGAACTAAATTAAGGAAACATGAATAATACCTACCATGGTTTCCTATAGTGTTTTAGCTTCTTTTTCCAGTCCTTTCCCCACTTTCTTGTCGTCTTCACTAGACACTGTTTTGTGTGACAGTACCTCCTCATAAGCCTGAGTCCCCTGACAGCTCAGAGACAATATGGCAAAGGTGTTTGAAGACTTATTCTCTGGAATACACCTGCAAGACAAAAAGAAAAACAACTTTTCAAAAATGCTTATTTACAAGCAGTTTCATATCTGAATGTGGAGCTTATAAACATGCGTATTGACTAAAAAGAAATCATCTTTATAGAGGAAAATGACCTCATTTCAAACAAAAGCTAAATGTATCTTCTGAAGGCCTGGGGCCTAGAGCCTAAGTGATATGGCCAAAAAAGTAACCCCCCTGGTAGCCACAGTGTGGCAGCTGGCTGACTCATACTCAGTGAGATAAATACATTAACAGACACAGATTCAGTAAAGAAGTGTTACCTGAAGGGTGGCTCAGTCGGTTGAGTGTCCGACTCAGCTCAGGTCATGATCTCAGGGTTCATGAAATTGAGCCCCAGGTTGGGCTCTGTGCTGACAGCACAGAACCTGCTTGGGATTTTCTCTCTCTCCCACTCTCTCTGCCTGGCCCAGGCTCGCTCTCTTTCTCTCTCTCAAAGTAAGTAAACTTAAAAAAAAATTTTTTTAAATAATAATAAAATTAAAAATTTTTTAGAATAAAAAATAAAGAAGTACTACCTGAAAAAGTACTACCACTACTGGTGGCAACAATGTTGCAATTGATCATAAGACTTTCAATTAGAGATTGGCATTAGCCACAGGGCGCCTGGGTGGCTCAGTCAGTTGAGCGCCCGACTTCAGCTAAGGTCATGATCTTGTTCTAGTTCATGGGTTCGAGCCTTGTGTCTGGGCTCTGAGCTGACAGCTCAGAGTCTGGAGCCTGATGTGGAGTCTGTATTTCCTTCTCACTCTGCCCTACCCCCACTCATGCTCTGTCCCTGTCTCTTAAAAAAAATAAAATTTTTTAAAAAATTAAAAAAAAAAAAGAAATTAGCATTAGCCAGACCTACTCAAAAAGTAGATAATCTACCTGAAAATATAATACCACCATTAATTGAAACCATGAAGCTTTTCCATTTGATATTGCCATCAGACAGTACATGTTGGCACAATGTTTCTTCTTTAATCATTTTTAGGCCTAAAATTCAGAATGCTTTTTTGGCTCTGTTCCCCTAACTCCTGAGAGACCCTGCTCCCAGATTTTAGCCTATATGTGCTATTATGCCAAATTCCTCAATATTCACTAGATCCTGACTTCATTACCCATGGATGACTGTAGTCAAAATCCCACCGTATATTTCTGCCCAGAGACTTAATTACTATTACCCCTTTATTCCATCTTTATGAGATTTTATTCCAGATAAGGTAAAAGTAAACTCTTCTGAGCACTGATGAAATCCTTATAAATTATAAGCCAAGATGTTTAAAAAAAAAACAAAACAGAGTAACTATCAAAACAGAACACATGATTACCTACGTGGATATCAGGGATATCAGAAATTATTTACACACCACAAAATAAACACAAAAGATAGCTTCCTCTTCATCTCAATATCTTTCCTTTAAATTTCCTTTAAATAAGGAACTTCCCCCACCCCATACTTTTGCCTATAACAGTTTCCGAATACTATCAGTTGTTCTCTTAAAGAAAAACAAATCCTTTTTGAATTTTTGGGACTAGGAAAATTATAGGTGTAACATAACACTCCCCAATACTGCACATTAAAAAACAAACCCACAATTTTAGTCAAATGATACTCAGCTGTGACCTACATGCAAAACTATTCATATCCTGTAACCAACTTCCCTGACTCCACAAAATCCACCTGAAATAAGCTGAAGCTTGATTTAAAAAAAAAAAACAAAAACAAAAGATTATGTAACTGAACTCATCAATGGGGTTTACTTTATCACACATAACACACAAAGGAGAGAACACACACATGCTACAATTCTTAGGGTCTTTTCATACAAAAAAGTTAAGAAACATGATCCCATGGTAAGATATGTCTCAAAGATCCTTTTGTATACAGATCATACTACACAAGTTAAGTCTGGCCATTTCCCATTCCCAACCCTACTCCACCATTCTAGCAGATTCAACCATTTAGTATTTAGCTGTGAATCCAGCAGCCAAAAAAGATTGCTATGTGTTCAGCTGAGAACTGATAGCAAAGTTCACGTGCTTCACTCTAAAAAAGTAAGGCCAAAAATTCAACCATATTAAGATGGTAGACTGAAAGCAGGGAAGAATGCTGAGAAAAAGCTGGGGCGCCTGGGTGGCTCAGTCGGTTAAGCGTCCAACTTCAACTCAGGTCACGATCTCACAGTGCGTGGGTCGGAGCCCCACATGGGGCTCTGTGCTGACAGCTTGGAGCCTGGAGCCTGCTTCGGATTCTGTGTCTCCCTCTCTCTCTGCCCCTTCCCCACTCACACTTACTCTCTCTCCCTCTCTCTCAAAAATAAACATTAAAAAAATTAATTGTTTGGGCGCCTGGGTGGCTCAGTCAGTTAAGTGTCCAACTTCTGCTCAGGTCACGATCTCATGGTTCGGGGATTTGGGCCCCACATTGGGCTCTGTGCTGACAGCTCAGAGCCTGGAGACTACATTGGATTCTAGCTCTCCTTCTCTCTCTCTGTCTCTCCCCTGCTTGTGCTCGCTCGCTCTGTCTCTCTCTCTCTCTAAAAAATAAACATTAAAAAGAAAGGTGATGTTAGTGGAGAAACTGTGGATCACCAGTGTCAAAATACAGCATTCCTCAGTCATTTAGCACAGAGAGTAACCACCCTATGCATGCATCAAGCAGCTGGAGGAACTTCAGGACTTATAGCACAGTTCAACAATCCATGATAAAAGCAACGTTCTGCTGGTGCTGTAAAAGCAACTTAGAAATCGTCTGGCCCAACGCCACCCACCCCTCAGCTTACAAAAGAACTATAGATATTAAGGGCCATACAACTAATCAAGGACAAAGGCCTCCTGGTCCCAAACCAAACTCAGAGTCAAGAGTTTTTCTTAAAACAAAACAAAACAAACAAACAAAAACAATTAACAGCAGATAAAATTCTGGCCTTGAAATAAAAAAAACTCAACTTTGCCACTTAATAGCTAAGTGACTTTAGAAAGTTACATGACTCAGAAAATAATTTCATTTCTTTGGGTCTCAGTTTCTTTTATCTATGAAATGAACTGCTACTAATTAATAAGGTAACATTTATGTAACTCATATTCTGTACCAGGCACTGTTCAAAGAGCTTTTCATATATTAACTCATTTAATCCTCACAACAATTTCAATTACTATCTCCATTTAACACATAAGGAAACTATAGAGCATAAAGAGGTAATATAACCTAATTGAAAACACAAAGCAAAAGTACACAGTAAAGCCAATTTAAACCTAGACAATCTTCAATAATATTTTCACTCTAAAGGCACTTACACTTATGTTAGGGGCTAAACTTTAGCAATCTCAAAAAAATCTGTCTATGTGAATTACCAAGTCTATATAGCACACAGGCTTTTGAGCCAAATGGGCCTAGACTAAAGCACCTGATTTGCCATGTCACTTCTCTGAGCCAGAGGTTTTCCACATGTGCAGTGGGGGAAATAGGATTTACCTCAAACTAAATGAAAAATACCTAAGAGTATTTGCCAAACAGTACACGCTCAATAAATGGCTTTAGGAGGGAGGGGGAAAAAAGCCCTCAAATATCAAAGCCCTCATTGTGTTAACACATGAGTTATGTATACATTTAAAAACAGAGCATAGAAAAATATTAGGTGTGCTCTACTTATTAAATAAGAGCAGCTTTATGCAGCAGGTGGAATGTATATGTATAAGCACGTGCATGTGTTTCACTTTTTTAATCAAGCACTGCTTTTTCTTTTCTTTTTTTAATAGAGAAGGACAGTTAATATTCTTTTTGTTTAATGTCTGTCTGTTTTGAGAGAGAGAGAGACAGAGAGAGACAGAGAGAGAGAGAGACAGGTAGAGGCAGATACAGGAGAGACAGAATCCCAAGCACATTCCATGCTGTCAGTGCACAGCCTGACACAGGGCTCAATCCCACAAACCGTGAGATCATGACCTGAGCCAAAATCAAGAGTCAGATGCTTAAACTAAATGAGACCCCCCAGGTGCCCCAGCTACTGGGGATTCGAGCACTGCTTTTTCAAACAGTGGATTTTTTTCAGAGTTTCAGGTTTATAGAAAAATTGGGTGAAAAATAGAGAAAATCCTATGTACCCCTTCTCCATACCACACACATACAGTTTCCCTTATTATTAACATCTTACATCAGTGTGATACATTTGTTACAACTGCTGAACAACCAATGTTTATGCAACACTATTAAAGTCCATAATTTACATTAGGGTTCTCTTTGTGTTGTACATTCTAGTTTTGACAAATGTATAATGACATGCATCCACCATTACAGAATCATACAGAACAGCTTCACTGCCCTAAAAATCCCATGTCCCACCTATTCAAACCCTCCTTCTTCCAAATGTCATATAGTTAAAATCATACAGTATGTAGTCTTTTCAGATTGGCCTTTTTCATTTAGCAATATGCATTTAAGATTCCTCCATGAGTTGACATTTCTTTTTATCACTGAATAATATTCCAGTGTCCGGATGGACCACAGTTTTTTATCCATTCACCTACTTTAGGACATCTCGGTTGCTTCCAAGTTTTAGCAATTATGAACAAAGATGCTATAAACATTCTATGCAGATTTTTGTGTAGACACAGGTTTTCAACCCATTTGGGTAAATACCAAGGAGAACGATTATGGGATCATATGGCAAGACAATGTTTAATTTAGCTTTGTGAGAAACTTCCAGACTCTCTTTCATCCAACACAGTCGTACCATTTTACATCCCCACCAGCAGTAAATGAGTCCCTGCTGCTCCACATCCTCATCAGCATTTGGTGTTGTCAAAGTTTGGGACTTGAGCCCTTCTAATAGGTGTGCAGTGGTATCTCACTGTTGCTTAATTTGAAATTCCCTGATGACACAGGATGTTGAGTATCTTTTCATATGCTTATTTGCCATCTGTACATCTTTGGTAAGGTGGCCTGTTCAAATCTTCTACCCATTCTTTTTTTTTAATTGGGTTGT